GGCACTTGAAATGAGGCACTGACAATATGTAGACCATGCACCATAGCTGCTGTTAATGTCAGAAGAGGGCTGATCAGACATAATCAGACATTCCCAGAGAACCTGTAATAACTTTCCTCACTCCTAGGGGCTCAGAAATCTGGGGCAAAGGCAAACGTCATATACTATCTGCTCTCTGGGATTCAAGTACCTGTTTCTCATGGACCTTTTGTTCATTCTAGAAATATTTGGGGGAGGGCCTAACAAGTATTAAGCACTTCTTTACACTGAAATGCAGGAAGAAAATAGAATGAAAAGCCCTCTGGAGCTTATTTCAGTTGGAAGAGACTGAAAATACATAAAATATGTAGCCTGTCAAATGATGATAGATGGCTGGGCATGTTGGCATGCGCTTGTAATCTTAGGGACTCAGGAAATTGAGGCAGGAGGATTGCAAATTTGAGGCTAGTCTCTGTAATTTTAGCAAGACACTATCTTTTTTTTTTTAGAGAGAGAGAGAGAATTTTTTTTAATATTTATTTTTTAGTTTTCGGCGGGCACAACATCTTTGTTCGTATGTTGTGCTGAGGATCGAACCGGGCCGCATGCATGCCAGGCCAGCGCGCTACCGCTTGAGCCACATCCCCAGCCCAGCAAGACACTATCTTAACATAAAAAATAAAAAGGGCTGGGTGTGGGGAGGGGCAGGCACAGTGGCACATGCCTTCAACCCAGCAACTTGGGAGGCTGAGGCAGGAAAATCCTGAGTTCAAAGCCAGCCTCAGCAACTTAATGAGCCCCTAAGCAACTCAGCGAGACTCTGTCTCTAAATAAAATATAAAAAGGGCTAGGGAGAGCTGAAGATATAGCTCAGTTGGTAGAGTGCTTGCCTCGCATGCATAAGGCCCTGGGTTCTAATTCCCAGCACCATATTAAATATATATATTAATATTTTTTTAAAAGGGAGAAATGTGGCTCAGTGGTAGAGTGTCACCAGGTTCAATCCCCAGTACTTCAAAACAGAAAAGGTTAGGGTTTAGCAGGAAAGGGAGATAAATTGGTTAGGGCTGGGAAGAAGGCATACTTTCATCAAGTCATTGGGGAACACTTCATTGAAGAGTTGGTATTCCAGCACATCCCTGAAAAAAAAAAAATGAGAGTGAAATCAGCAAGACACTGAGTAGGTGCAACTTTCAGGCTGAAGTGGCATGAGAAGAGCATTGGGGCTGGAGGTATCCTGGGAAGGAGAACAGGATGATCTAGAATCCAAGTGTTTTGAGGATGAGGAGGGGTGGTTAACTGTATTGTTGGGGGAAACAGACTGATCAAGAAGCAGCAAACAGCACTCAGAGAGGAGGGGAACTCCAAACATTGTTTTACACCAGGCAGCTCAGAGGAAAACAAAACTCCAAATTCTGAGCTCTGATCCACAGTTTTTCACAAAATTTATAGGTTCTTTGGCATCACCTTAGACTTGTTCTATCATTGGAGCTTTTTTCCTTTGTGCAAGGGTCTCTAACATAAGGCATGCTTACAGAAACAGATAAGTAATGGCTCTTTTCACAGACGTCTGTTACATTTCAAGAGGGAGTATTCAGACTGCCAGGGCAGTTATTTACAATCCAAAAGATAAGGACCTGCGGTTAATTAGGCTTCCTAGAGAAAGGCAAAGAGAGGGGAACTGACCCTTTCCCCAGGCCTTGTTTTCTTATAACGTTTTTCTTTTCTTTTATTTATTTTTATATGGTGCTGAGGATAGAACCCAGGGCCTCACACTTGCTAGGCAAGGGCTCTACCAAGGAGCCACAACCCCAGCCCCCTCTTACCATACCGTTTTTATCATTTCATTTCACAACCACGTCTGGTTTTGCCATCACAGTATGAAACGCTGCTGATGCGGTAAGATGAGACCAGAAAACTGGCCAAAGGACTTAATAATCACAAGGAGGTTGTACAGTATCCCTGACAAAAGTAGGTTGGGGAGAAAATAGGAAGTGAGAAATCCGAAGTTGAGGGGGCTTAAGAGCAAACGGGGAGGGAGAAATTGGAGACAGTGAATCCAAGCAATTTTTTGGAGTTTAGTTATAAAAGGGAGCAAAGAAATGAGGCAGTAGCTGGAAGAGGAAGTGGAATCAAGAAAGGATACCCCGCTACACACACACACACACACACACACACACACAAGATGGCAGACTTACCGGGTGTCTACACTTGTTTTCTTTCATCTTTCCTCTCACTGTGGACAAACCCACAGGCTTTTTGACCTCCTACCTCACACCCAAATATAACTTTTGCAAAGCTCTGTGCCCAGAGGGTTCTGGGCTGTAGGAGATATAAGCCAAGTCCTTTGTTTCTCCTTTCTTCTCTGGCACTTCCCTCCCCTGGAGCAATGAACTTGGCTGCTACAGACAGCGGGTAGGGCCAGGGAGTGAAATTCCAGAACAGAAAGAACAAAGATATCTCAAAATATCTTGCCATCATCCTCTTGATTGCCTCTCCTTGAACTGGGCACTGCTGCAGGGCTGTGGGGGGCTCCCTGCCGGTGTGGCAGGATAATTTTCTCTATCCTAGGACTGTTAGCCAAAGCAATCTGTAGACATTTATGCCTAGCTATATTTTTTAAATTTATTTATTTATATTAGCTATTCATGATATTACAATGATCTTGGCAATTCATACACTTGAATCATTGGGGTATAATTTCTCATTTTTCTAATTGTACAGATTGCAGAATCACACTGGTCTTAGAGTCACCTATATACATACAGCAATCATAACCTAGTTATATTTTTGTTATTTAACTGTGCCATATGTTTTTATGCTAGCACCTTCCTCTTTTTCTGTTTTTTTTTTTTTTCCTTTCCTTTCTTTTTTCCTTTTTTTTTTTTTTTTTTTTTTGGTGTAATGGATGGTAAAATCAGGTCTGGTTGTAAAATGAAATTATAAAACCACTATCATGAAAAACTAGTGCCCAGGAAAAGGGTGAGTTCTCTTCCCCTTTCTGTCAGCCCTTCTTCAGGAATCCTAATTAACCATAGGCCTCTACCTTTTGGATTGTAAATAACTACCTCTAGGATCTAACTACTCGCTTTGAAGTGTAAACGCCCCTGTTCAGGCTTTGGGCACAAGGCTAGAGATTTATCAGAGGCCTGTGAAAAGAGCCAGTTTTAGCCCTTATCACTTTCTGCTTCTATAAACAGGCTTCCCACTAGAAACCCCCTGCAGGGCCTTCTATCATGTAAACTAGAAATTTTATGGCACCAGATTGCCTATAAATGTTGTGAGAAACTGGGAATGGGGGCTTAGAATTTGGAGTTTGATCTCTGGGCCTGCCAGTATAAAAATAAAATCTCACTTCTCCCACTCTCCAAGTGCTGTTTGCCGCTTCTTAACCAGTCTGATTCCTGCAACATTGGTACCTGGGACTGAACCCAGGGATGCTTAACCACTGAGCCACATCTCCAGACCTTTTCTATTTTTTATTTTGAGACAGGGTCTCACTAAGTTGCTGAGTACTGGCCTCGAACTTGTAATACTCCTGCCTTAGCCTCTGGGATTACAGACCTGTGCCACTGATTTTTTTTTTTTTTATTATTGTGATAAAATTCACCATTTTAAAGTATATAATTTACTGGCTTTTAGTCACATGTTGTGCAATCATCACCATTGTAGTTCCAAAGCATCATTCATCACCCCAAAAGGAAATCCCATTAATTAGTAACTCCCTTTTCCCACCCCTTGGTAACCACTAAATGGCTTTCTGTCTTCATGGATATACCTATTCAGGATATTTATATAAATGGAATCATACCATATATGGTCCTTTGCATCTGCCTTCCTTCACCTAGTATATTTTCTCCATTACTGATATCTTTTTGTACTTGAATTTTTTCTAGTACATAGTTCTGATTCCCTCCTCATTTGCTTTCCTATATTTATCTTTTATTTATTTCTATTTTAGGTACTAGAGATTGAACACAGGGACACATTGCCATTGAGCTACATCCCCAGCACTTTTAGTTTTTGTCTTGAGATAGGGTCATGCTAAGTTGCAGAGGCTGAACTCTGACTTGCCATCCTCCTGCTTCAACCTCCCCAGTCACTGGAATTACAGTCCTATGCCACCAAGCTCGGTTTTACTTTTTTTAAAATTTACTTTTATTTATTTAATTTTGGTACTGGGGATTGAACCCAGGGGCACTTTATCACTGAGCTACATTCCCAGCCATTTTTTGCTTTTTATTTTGAGACAGTGTCTCACCAAGTTGCTAGGGTCTTGCTAAATTGTTGAGGCTGACCTCAAACTTGCAATCCTCCTGCCTTGGCCTACCTAGTAGTTGGAATTAGAGGTATGCAACACTGTGCTGGGCCAGAAATCTGGAATTTCAAATTCTGAAATGTTGGCAACAAATGCATTTTGTTTTTCAAAGTGCGGGTTGAAAAAAAACCTCCTTATTCTAGGAAAGAGGAAAAAAGGCCTATTTTGGAGGTACGATTCTCCAAAAGGCCAAACAGGCAGGTGAGAACAGGAAGGGCCAAAGCTTCTCTCAGGGATAAGGTACTTACCTAGATTCCCAGCCTGTATCTCTCCTGTATCTCTAGGGTCAAATTGCAAAGTCTCTAATCCTCAACCCTACCCACCTCTTCACCCTGGGCATCATCACACTGCACCCTGCATTCCCAGAGCGTCGCGACTCCTTTGCCTTCCGGACTTCGCCCCCGGTTCTTTGGTGACCTAGAATGCCATTACCTGCCATTTGCCCCACCCCACCCCGGAACTGCTTGCAGCAAACCAGGCTCCACTCCAGGATCTGGAGGGCCGCACACACAGATTCTTCCTTGCTGTCCTATCTCAAGCTCCCGAGGCGGACTGCTTAGGTCAACGTCATCAGTCCACACCTAGCACAGAGTGGCAGCCCCTGAGAGCATGCAACCCACCCCTAACCCAGCGGTTCCACAGATCCAGCCCGGGTTAAAGGCGAGGGGCCAGGCGCGCGTGCGCGGCTCGGAGCTTTATTGCATCACCGCGACTCCGAAGCGCGCGGTTCGATCATGAGCACGCCGCCGGCGGCTTCACGCTTGCGCATCTTTCTCTGCCAGGCGCGCGCCTGACTGTTCTCAGGGTTGAGCTTTTCCAGCAGGTGCATGCGCGCCGTGGTCTCAGTCAGCATGTCCATGAGTAGTTCTTGCTGCAGCTTCAGGTAGTTGTTCTCCTCCAACAGCATCTGGGTTTTGACTCGCTGTACCTGTGGTTTCCAGCCTGAGATGGTTGGCGAGGACTTCGGCGGCCGTGACCGCGGCTGCTGGCCCTCCGCTCTCCACCGGCCGCTGCGGAACACGAAGGCCTGGTTGTTGAGGCGTGTGCGCGGCTCACCGTAGCTGAGGCCCAGCTCAGCCTGGCGCGTCCGGTGGTCCAACAGATAGAAGGTGGACGTGGAGGAGATGTGGCGCAGCGGCGGCCGCCGTGGTGAGAAGCGCCGCGAGAAATGATCGGCCCAGAATTGCCGCAGCAGCTCCCAAAAGCTGCTGGTATGGCTCCTAGCCAGGCACTCGAAGGCAGCCAGAGTGAGGGGTGGGCAGGCCTCTCGCCTGAGCGCACAGGTGGCCGCAGGGTAGTGGCAACCAGTGCTGCCCCCTTGCCTCCGGAGCCCTGGTGTCCTGAATGATGAAGGCGAGCCAGGGGCACTGTTGGGTACAAATACCTGGGTGAACCGCCTGGTTGGTACAGGCTTGCAAACCGCGAAGCTGATGGACTTGGATTAGCTTATGGCTTGCTTTTTGGGCTAACCAGTTGCGGGTCACTGAAGAGCTCATCCTTGTACAATCGCACTACGCACAGGCTCACAGAAACCACTTCCCCCAAAGACCACTCTTGGGTGTCAGGCCCTGGGTATAGACATGTACATGAAGGTCTAGGGCCCTGTTCTCTGAGTTGCATCTGGAAGAGGTCATGGGTGGAAGAGGAAGGAATGATAGCGAGACCAGTAGGTACTTAATGGAGGAACAGAACTTTTCCAGGAGGGATGGGAATGAATAGATTGAGAGCTTCTAGAAAAAGTGAAGAGAGGGGCAAGCCTTTCATGTTGCAAATGTGTGGAAGAGGTTGGGTAGGATTGATTCTGGCACCAGCAGAAGAAGCTGAACCAGGGCACTTGAGGTGACATACAGGCAGGCTTAGCGATTTACTTACCCTAGGTAAGAGGGAACTGCTAAAGGATTACAAAGCCAGGATTTGGATTCTGCAAAGTATCTGATGAGATGTCTGACATAACCCACACCATTACTGCCCTTGTCTTTCAACCTTGAACTGGAACCTGCTATGTGCCAAACCTTGGTCTGGGCAGGGGATACTAGCACAGACTGTGCCTGCTTTTTAATAAACTCCTGGTGCAGCCAGAAAGAGATATCCACATAGATCACAATACAGTATGCTCAGTGACATCCTGGGACGAGTGCCTTTGCCTAGATCTATGCTCTGATTTCAAGGTAATGGCTGTGCACACTAGAAGTGACTTTTGTACTAAGCAGACTACTTCCTCAAGGAATCTAAAGTTCAGATAACAAAACAGATAAGTCCCATTCTACCTGGCTCTTTTTCCCCAGTAAGTGCTGATTCTATTATGTGAGAAAGGGATATGTGTTTTGTGTTTTAAAATTCCTCTTCTCGTGGAGGGAGAAAAGAGGACTAACTGGGGCAGATTTCCCTCTGTCTTGCCTTCATTAATTCTACACACTTATTTATCACATAGAGCTAAGAGGTGGATGATACCTCCCCTGAATCTGGTTCAAGGAGACCATCTAGGAGAGCCCACTTCCAGATCCACCCTTGTTACAACTCTCCAGAGGTCTCTTTCCCAGTAATCTTTGCTACATGTTGTGTCTCACCTGAAAGATGTGCTGGAGGTGCCAAGCTGCTGTCCCAGGCCTGGTCTCATCTCTGAACCACTTAGCTCCTCTTTACCAGCTATGACTCACAATGCCTCCAGGCTGGGGCATTGCTGACAGCTGAGTTATAAAAGATCCTGGGCTTGCCCCTACATTCATTTGGTTAATTTATTGAGCACTTACTGTGTTCTAGGCACTCTTCTAGGGAAGTAAATATATTCTGCTATTTAACCAGCAGGGTGGGTGGGAGGGGGTCATATGCATAGACTGAGAGGAATTTGTTCTAATCGACTGCTGTGGTTTAGATGTGGCTTATCCCCCAAGGATTCATGTGTTGGAAGCTTGGTCTCCTGTGTGGCAATATAAGAGGCAGTAGAAATGATTTTTGGAGAAGGAGTGGTGCTGGGGATTGAACCCAGGGCCTTGCGCATGATAAATGTGTACTCTACCACTGGGCTATACCCTCAACCTCTGGTGGAACCTTTAAGAGAAGGGGCCTATTGGAAGATAATTAGGTCATTGGGGATACTCTCCTTCCAAGGGGTTAATGCTGGTTTGGGGGAATTAGTGAGTTCCTGTGAGAAAGGGTTGTTATAAAAAGAGTAACATTGGTCCTTCCCTGTGCCCTGGCTTCCTGTTTTGCCATGTGATCTCTCCCTCTCACTTATGCTATCATATCACCATGATATGATGCTCCAGAAAGATTTCACTGGAGTCAGCAGATGATGACATCATATTCTTAGACTTCTAAAACTGTTAGCTAAATAAATTTCCTTTATAAAGCACTCAGTCTTGGGCTAGGGCTGTGGCTCAGTGGTATAGTGCTTGCCTAACACATGTGCGGCACTGGGTTCGATCCTCTGCACCTCATAAATAACACACATACACACATATGCTTTATATATACATTATATGTGTGTATGTGTGTGTGTGTGTAAAAGAACCCAATTTCAGGTATTTTGTTATAGCAACAGAAAACAGATTAATACAGGGAGTAAAGACAGTCAGCTGACATGGGTGTCATTCTCTAGAAGCAATCAACGATGAGAGTTCTTCTCCAAATGATTTATGGGGGAAATGCTCTCAGGAGAAGGGAGTGAGGAAGGCAGGGCAGGGCAAAGAAAAAAGTTAAGAGTATGATCTTGGGCTAGGGTTGTGGCTCAGTGGTAGAGTGCTCATCTGGCATGTGTGAGGCACTGGGTTCGATCCTCAGCACCACATAAAAATAAACAAATAAAAAAAAACAAATAAAATAAAGGTATATAAAAAAAGAGTGAGATCTTCAGCTAGGCACAGTAGCATAGGCGTGTAATCCCATTGACTTGGGAGGCTGAGGCAGGAGGATTGCAAATTCAAGGCCAGCTTCAGCAATTTAGCGAAAACCTATCTCAAGAAAAAGAGAGAAAGACAAAGGGACAGAGACAGAGAAACTGGGGCGTGGTTGAGTGATAGAGTGCACCTGGGATTTGATCCCCAGTACAAAAAAAAAGGTGGTCTTAAGTGGAGACTAGCTTCAATCTCATTTCTCATTGGGAACTCAGAGGACAAATTACATCGGAGTTAAGCTTCCTGAAGGAAAGGGAGCTGGTCTAGCATATTCACCCCACTTCCCTTCCCACATTTCAGTCAGTTTTATTAGCAGGGACAATCATGAGTTATCACCTGAAACTTAAAGTACCTATGGGATGGGCATACTACCAGTAATAGAGACCTGGTTGAAGCACCAACAGCATAAAAGAAGGAGGAAAATAATAGACAACGAAAAGGAAAGGAAATTACTAAATGGACAAGAATTTCTGATTGTGATATTTAAGATGAAGAAAGTAAAACGGAAATGTCGAAATTCACTTTAGGACAGGGTGAAGGGTAGGAACTAATTTGGACATGATACTTAGAGAAGGCACTTAACATTCATGCTCAGACCTGAATGATTTGAATGATGAGGGGACCCCCACCTTTTGATAATCTGGGGGCTTGAGGAAGTAAGGAGCTGGGCATATCTGAAGGACAGTTGCCATGTTTTGAGACTGTGGAAGGAAATGACGACAGCCCTACTTGCCAAGCCCACCAATTGACTGCCATCACCTCTACTTGGCTTTATCAATTTCAAGGACCTCTTCCTGGGCCTGCCAGTTAATCTGCCCTTCTGCATGGCCCTAGGAGGGATCAGGCCCAATTCCAGGGGACCTCCCAAGAGAGGCAGAGTGAGATGGTAGCACCACTTCCTGGGAACCTTTTTCATTATCAGTTCTTTTGTTTTTATTTTGAAACAGGTTCTGGCTGAGTTGCCCAAGCTGGCCTCAAACTCCTGAGCTCAAGTGATCCTTCTGTCTCAGCCTCCTGAGGAGCTGGGATAACAGGCATGTGCTACTGTGCCCACCTCTTTAACAGTTTAACTGAGGTATAATTGACATAATAAACTATGCATATTTATCATATACAATTTGATATGTTTTGATAATTTGTGACATCTCCAAAATCAATTATAAAGAAGGTTCCCTTACCTCCAAAAAGTTTTCTGTGCCCCCATCATTATAGTTTGCATTTTCTAGAATTTTATATAAATGGCAAGTATTCAATATGTACTCTTTTTTTTAATGTGTGTCTGTATGTGTGTGTGTGTGTGTGTGCACTCACTTCTTGCAGCATAATTAAGGTTTATCTATGTTGTTCAATTAACAATCCATTCTTTTTAAATTAGTGAATAGCATTCCATTGTATTGATATACCATGCAATTTGCTTTTCCATTCACTTGTTTCTGGAAATTTGAATTATTTCCAGTTTGGGGGCAATTATAAATAAAGCACATATACATGTCTATATGTCTTTGTGTGGACATAATCTTTCATGACTTTTGAATTAATACCTAGAAGTGGAATGGCTGGGTCATATAGCAGGTATATGTTTACCTTTTTGTGAGGCTGCCAGAATTTGCTGCTGTTGTTGTTGTTTTGTGGTGCTGGAGATTGAACCCAGGGCTTCACACATGTGAAGTAAGTACTCTACCATTGAGCTACATCCCCAGCTCATTTCTTTCTTTTTGAAATGGGGTCCTTTCCATGTTACCCAAGCTGGTCTCAAACTCTTGGGCTCAGATGATATTCCCACTTAAGCCTCCAGAGTAACTGGCATTACAGGTGTGTGTCATCATATTTGGCTGAAGCTGCCAAACTGTTCAAAATGGTTGTACTTCATCCCCAACAAGAGTGAAAGAAAGTTTCTGTTCTGTACTGCTATGGGTCTTCATTGTTCATCATGTGGCTGTGTATATGTGGATCTCCTTCTGTGCTTTTTTATTACTTCCCCAAGACAGGGTCTTTCTATGTTGCCCTGGCTGGTCTTGAATTCCTGGCTCAAGCAATCCTCCTGCCTCAACTTCCTGAGTAGCTGGGACTACAGGTGTGTGCCACTTTGCCAGGCTATGTTCTCTAATTCTTTATTTTTTTTTTCTGGTACTGGGGATTGAACTCAGGGGTACTTAACCACTGAGCCACATCCGCAGCCGTATTTTGTATTTTATTTAGATACAGGATCTCATTGAGTTGCTTAGCACCTTGCTTTCTGCTGAAGCTTTGAAATTGCGATCCTCCTGTCTCAGCCTCCCAAGCTGCTGGGATTACAGGCATGCGCCCCAGTGCCCAACTCTAATTCTTTTCATTGGTCTCTATCTATTTTTTCCCCCAGTGTCATTTTATTATTATTATTATTATTGTTGTTGTTGTTGTTGTTATTATTTTGAAACTGGGGATTGAACTCAGGGGCACTTGACCACTGAGCCACATCCCCAGTCCTATTTTGTATTTTCTTTGGAGACAGGCTGTCACTGAGTCTCTTATCGCCTCCCTGTTGCTGAGACTGGCTTTGAACTCACAATCCTCCTTCCTCGGCCTCCAGAGCCACTGGGATTACAGGTGTACACCACTGTGCCTGGCTCATTTCTCAATTATCCAATTTATCAATTACAGTAAGTCTTACATCTGGTAGTGAAATCTTCCAACAA